AATAATGATCACTTAAATCCTGAAAAAAAGATGACATGAAAATACAAAAGAAAATGGCGAAGTACCTTTACAGTTGCTGGAAGATACCACATTATCTGGCGTGATCAACCGTTTGAACAAGGCCAGTGCGTCCAAACCCTCAGTCACGATGACTTGTGACTTCGTGCTAGCACAGTCATCAACGGCTTCTGAATAATTCCCTCTACCCAACTTCATAGACAAAGCTTGAAAATTAATAGATTAATGTGTAGTAAAAACGCCACAAATAGCGAAGCAAGATAAAAAATGTTAAGGGAGAGTTTATCTAGAAAATCAAATATTGTTCTTTTTTTTCCTGTGCTTTTATGTGAATTTCCCAAATCATTGGACGAACTAAGATAACCCAGATTAGGAAGTAAATACATTTTCTGGGAAACCAGCAATTAACATCAGCAACTGAAACTCCATCCTCTCACGTACAACCTCGAAGAAGAAACATTCCACCTGTCCTACTCGATAAAGAAAATGAATTAAACGATAAAAAAAAATTGAGATCAGAGACCTGATGGACCCGAAAAGAATGTTTGGTACCAAACGGTACCAGTCATTGACGCAGAGAATTTAGGGAAGATACCTTGAGTTGGAAACGGACGGCAAACATTTGCATTAGGATCTGTTCACAAGAATAACGGGCCTTATAAGATGAAAAACAAATAAAAAAAGGCCCACAAAAAAAGGAAAAGGGATTTCTTTTATGAACAGTGAAATGAGACTGAAGGACAATTGTTGTAGCATTTAAGAGTAGAGAGTAAATAACGCAGTCAGTGTTCAAGTACAAACGAAAATCAAGATTTGAATGCTGATATTCTTGGATGTGCGGGGAGTGTAGCGGTTATCAGCGTGCAAAGTGAAAACGGCAAACTTGGACGTTCGTGCCCGCAAAAAAAAAAAAAAAATACGGAAGGTCAAAAGATTGTTTTTTTTCCTTTGAAACTGATATTATTTTAACTACCTTCATTCTTCGGCAATGTTTATTGTTTTAAAAAGCGATGATTAGAATTATAATAAAGCCTAAACATATGAGGAAATTTAGACATTTTTTTTTCTTGAAAATGTACAACAAGAATATTAAACGCTATTTATTTATTAGATTGTTTACAAGAATAATTTTCTATTTGCAACATTCTTAAAACTAATACAATTGTATTAAAACTACTGCCACGGTAGCAAGCCTTCTGGTCGAGAGAGTGAAGCCTGGAAAAAACTCTTAATTTGTTACCAGTTTGTAAAAAAAAAATAAATAAATAGGAAAACAATTTTTTTATTCATAAATTTATAAACAAATTTATTAAAATATACGAACCTACTATATGGAAATCCTTATTATTTACCATTTTATAAAGTTCGAATCGATTGGCAATTAATTGATGTTTTGCTAACCATTCCAATAAACAATCTAATAAATAAATAGTGTTTATTATTTTTGTTGTGAACTCTTAAGAAGAGAAAAATGTATAAAATTCACTTTCATATATTTAGTTTTTTATTAAAAACGCTTTGAAAATTTCTTGAAGCGTGGAACTGACTATGAAGTATTGATTTCTATCCCCTTATTCTCGCACTCACACACACCCTCCATATATATATATAAAGAGAGAGAGAGAGAGAGAGAGTGCTTAGTACGCAAGGGTTACCAGACTTCCATACAGATGTTACGCATGGCATGAAAGTCTTACAAAAATATCTAAACTGTCAGCTGTATACAACGCTTTTTCAGATCAATCATTAAAAATGACCAGGACTACCAACAGCAGCAACAGCTAAAATGGATAGCACATGTTACTGGAAGAACGAATAATGACATAATAAAGATGTTTACATTCCACACTATTTCAAATAAAGAGTGAAGAAGGAGCATTCCCTCCCCACTGATCAATACTTGGAAAGAGATACTTGAGAAACCTATTCCCCATGTTAGGCAAGTTCATAGTCCCAGATCATTATTCAACAATCAAGTATTCAGGTAGTCATGGAGACTTGACCAGAAAGATTCAAGTATTGGGAGCAATGCTGAGTAGCCCCATTCCTTGATTTGGATAAAGGTTGATAGTCCCAGGTCATTATTCAACAATGTATTCAGGCAGTCATCATGGAGACTTGACCAGAAAGATTCAAGTATTGGGAGCAATGCTGAGTAACCCCCATACAACATTTGTTTCTCTTGATTTGGATAAGCAAGTTCATAGTCCCAGATCATTATTCAACAATCAAGTATTCAGGTAGTCATGGAGACTTGACCAGAAAGATTCAAGTATTGGGAGCAATGCTGAGAGTAGCCCCCATACAACATTTGTTTCTCTTGATTTGGATAAGCAAGTTGATAGTCCCAGGTCATTATTCAACAATCAAGTATTCAGGCAGTCATCATGGAGACTTGACCAGAAAGATTCAAGTATTGGGAGCAATGCTGAGAGTAACCCCCATACAACATTTGTTTCTCTTGATTTGGATAAGCAAGTTGATAGTCCCAGGTCATTATTCAACAATCAAGTATTCAGGCAGTCATCATGGAGACTTGACCAGAAAGATTCAAGTATTGGGAGCAATGCTGAGAGTAACCCCCATACAACATTTGTTTCTCTTGATTTGGATAAGCAAGTTGATAGTCCCAGGTCATTATTCAACAATCAAAGTATTCAGGCAGTCATCATGGAGACTTGACCAGAAAGATTCAAGTATTGGGAGCAATGCTGAGAGTCATCATTTGGATTTGGATAACAAGTTGATAGTGTCATTATTCAACAACCAGAAATGGAGATTGACCAGAAAGATTCAAGTATTGGGAGCAAGCTGAGTAATACAACATTTGTTTCTCTTGATTTGGATAAGCAAGTTGATAGTCCCAGGTCATTATTCAACAATCAAGTATTCAGGCAGTCATCATGGAGACTTGACCAGAAAGATTCAAGTATTGGGAGCAATGCTGAGAGTAACCCCATACAACATTTGTTTCTCTTGATTTGGATAAGCAAGTTGATAGTCCCAGGTCATTATTCAACAATCAAGTATTCAGGCAGTCATCATGGAGACTTGACCAGAAAGCAATTCAAGTACCCCCATACAACAATGCTGATTTGGATAAGCAAGTTGATAGTCCCAGGTCATTATTCAACAATCAAGTATTCAGGCAGTCATTGAGATTGACCAGAAAGATTCAAGTATTGGGAGCAATAATTTGTTTTCTCTTGATTTGGATAAGTTGATAGTCCCAGGTCATTATTCAACAATCAAGTATTCAGGCAGTCATCATGGAGACTTGACCAGAAAGATTCAAGTATTGGGAGCAATGCTGAGAGTAACCCCATACAACATTTGTTTCTCTTGATTTGGATAAGCAAGTTGATAGTCCCAGGTCATTATTCAACAATCAAGTATTCAGGCAGTCATCATGGAGACTTGACCAGAAAGATTCAAGTATTGGGAGCAATGCTGAGAGTAGCCCTCATACAACAATTATAAATCATCTGACACAAATCAACAAAGTGGAAAAGATCCAAGAATCAGTACTCAATGATTTCAATGATAATCAACAATTTGCAAAGTTGGACACTTACTGCAATTTATTTATTATCAGCTACAAAATCGTCCTTCTTTGAACATTGTGGACTGGCGCTACAGAATCCCAAAGAAACAACTGCTACCAAATAACAGAAACCATATCACTTGAGGACTATCAACAGCGGCAACAACTAAAATGGATAGCTCATGTAACTTGAAGAGAAAATAATGACATAATTAAGATGTTGATATTCCACACGACTTCAAGCAAAAGGTAAGGAAAGAAACTCCATTAATACTAGAAAGAGCGATAACAGCTACTGGACTTGAGAGATCTATTCTTCTGAAAAATTGTTTTATTTTCAACCGACAGTAGCACTGTCTGATCGGTTAATGAATTCCGATTTTTTCCTTATAAGCTTTCGGACACATTGAAACACAGATTCCCATGCGACCACAGATGTTAAGCGACGTCGTGCCTGGTCAGTAACTAGATGGGTGACGAGATGCCGTAAGCTTAGATATGTAGATGGTGTAATGGATAATGGTTCAGAATTGTTAATCAGAGAGCAGTTCCAGTTCCCGTTGGGTTCGTTATATTCACTTACGTGCATATGCCACACTTCTCCCCCAGCTATAGGTTAATTAGTAAGACTTATATAACAAAACCATTATTATTATTATTATTATTATTATTATTATTATTATTATTATCTCAAAAAAATTGTTACAATCTAAAAATATTTCCTAACTTTAAATAACCTGTAAAGGGTTGATAAGTCGTAGAAAATGAATGAATTAATCATTTTACTCGTAAGAAAATAGCTAATATTACTGTTACCATAACCATTATAAATTTGAAGAAATCCGAGGAATGTAGTGGCTTAAATGTTGTCATACAACTACCAAAGATGTGCGAGAAGCAATTGATTGAATGTCTCTTTTCTATTTTACTAAAACGCACGCAAGTTTCCTATCGTCTAACTTCATAACCGTAAAATAGTTGCTGTCTAATAAAAATATAGCTTCCAATCATCAAAACCCGTCAGATGTTTTGATCAGGCTGCATGGAATGAGACAAAATTAAATCTTATGAGACATGGTCTAAAGATGGACTGAGAGACGGGATAGTGCCTTTACGGCTGCCAGTGGGACATCGTCTACCATCTGTTAAGGTTTACCTAGCGGGCGATATAGCATCGGGAAGGCACGGTTTGAGGTAATGCTGGCTGGGGGGGGGTTGAATTTTAGTACAGGACGAGTGAAATATGTTTACAAATCTTTTCTCCACGCGTAATTAGCCGTCAAAGTTAGATACATTCGAACTGCTTCACCTTCAAAAAGATAGATAGATAGATAGATAGATAGATAGATAGATAGATAGGAAGGAGGAAGGAAGGAAGGAAAGGCAGGCATTTTGTTCAGACTGCTGTCAGTGTTTGTTACTTTATATTAACTGCGGCTTACGGCTATATCACGTTGAAATACCGATTCTCGTATGATCACCGAAGTTAAGCAACGTCGAGCCTGGTCAGTACCTAGATGGGTGACCGCTTGGGAATGCCAGGTGCTGTAAACTTGGGTGTGCGGTTGGTGTAATCGATAACTGCTCGAAATCGGAAAGCCAAGTTCCAATTTCAGTCGGGTTCGTTATATTCGCCTACGCGAAAATATCCTTGTGAAAGGTATGAATCCCCCACTTCCAGTCCACCCTTCAGCTATGGGTTAATTAGTATGGCTTCTTATCAGTAAATCATCATTATTTTTAAAGAAATTTTACTATCTAAAAATAGTTTCCGGCTTTAAATAACCTGGAAAAGTTGATAAGCCGTTTAAAAAAAAAGAAATCAATCAAATTATTAACTAATAACAAAACTTTAAAATAAAGGCGTATCACCTCCAGTTCGTTGGCTTCCACCATTGATCAACAGTGTAATACTAAAACATAACGTTGTGTAATCTTTTTTTTTTTTTTTTTTTTTTCATAATCCCAATATTGTCATTCTACAGGGTGTGTCCCTAAAGTCTGGACACATAGGAAATCTCATTAACTATATTTTTTTGCCTCCACAGATTAAACATGGTTGCTTACAAAGCACATCACCCTTTGCATCACAAATGTTGGAAATGATATTTTATATCGCGAAAATATGGATTTTTGCCTGCATGTCCAGGCATTAGGGGTACCTTGTCCATTTTTTGTCATATTATAAAACATTTAAGAAATGCAGAAACGGTATCTATGAGAATTGCATTTAAACACCTGAGTTAATCACTGACAACAAAAAGAAGGGGAAAAACAAAAGCAATAGATTTTACGGCGTTCATTTCAAAGTTCATTCAGCTGCTACGAAAATGTCAGCAATATATATATATATATATATATATATATATATATATATATATATATATATATATATATATATATATATAATAGCAATAGATAGATAGATAGATAGATAGATAGATAGATAGATAGATAGATAGTCCTGGAGGCTGTATTTATAACATTTCATCAGCCTAGCCTGTGCAGACAGAAGGAGCATTTTGTACGCTCATTCCGCTTGTTGGAGGGACTGTGCGTGTCTTTTTTTCCTTTTTATACTCTTATGGAACTTGCTATTTTCACCCCCTTTTGAATTTGAATTATTTGTAATTAAAATTTATCTCTTTTTAATCGCGTTCCAACTTTCCCTCTTCATTCCTTATATTGATTGTGTCTTTGATTGTTTTCCAATTTGCCAACGTATAACTTTGAAAAAGTGTTGGTCGAAAGGTACCTAAGGTATAACATGACGACCGTTTTGTTTAAATCTCTCTCTCTCTCTATATATATATATATATATATATATATATATATATATATATTGAAAATTGAAATGAGAAATTTTATAAAAAAGTATATGCAAATTTCATTGAATACAACAGACAGGGTGCTTTGATTTACTTTTTTTATAAAATTTCTCATTCAATTTTCGTGAAAGAAGGATTGCTGCCTAAATACACACACACACACACACATGTATATGGATCAATATTGTGCATTTCTTTCTTCGTACAACGATAATGTTATTAAACTTATCAGACGTAGAGAAAAAATTTTACATAAAATAAATAGACAACACTTGTCTATATTATTTAATGAATATATATATATATATATATATATATATATATATATATATATATAACGTCCCAGGTCAAGTTGTGCTTTATATATAGGATGAGCATCCAACAAAACATGGAAAGTTTTTACCTTGAAATGTTTTACCAATCAGCAGACGTAAACAAAAACTGATTTTATTCGTCGTTGTCGGCACCTGATTGTCATCCGATCATCGAGATCGTCATCCCCCTCTGGTAATGGTAACGGAGATACCTGTAAAGGCCCAGTCTACTCCTGAAGAGTCACAAAGAAGTGTGGGTAGTGGACACGGCTGGGCGATTAGGGTCCTCATGACAGCATGTCGTAAATAATCTTCATGCTGACGGTTGGACTCCGTCTCCCCTCAGATGGTCCCACGCCAGAAAAGCCGATTTGCTGCAACGGTTTCGCACGGCCGAAGTTGGCCTGCATCGGGGATGTTTTCAACTGATCCTTGAAGCGTCGTTGTGAGCCCCCACGTAGCCTCTTGCCGCTGGCGTGTTCTCCAAACAGGATGATACCTGGAAGTGGAACGCAATCTTAACACGTGACCCGACAAGTGGATGTGATAGCCTCGATGCTGGACAAAGATGTCCGTGAGAGAACCTCGTTGTTGGTCATGCGGTCCTCCTAACTGACGCGAAGGATTCTTCCGAGCTTTGTTTGCTGGAATCGTTCTAGGCGTTTGATGTTGGGGTGAAATGATTTTTTAAAATTATTTCTTAGTCTTATTAATCTAAGCGTATTTAATAGAAACAAAGTGAGAGAACGCAGAGGTTCATGTCCGATGTTTTAACCATCAAGCTACCATACACAGAACAAAATGACGTACGACCAGAGACAGTCAACTAATTGTTCTTTTCAACTCACATTAATAAACTGATTTTACGCTTATATTTAGGTTATAGCAAACACTATCAATCTGGACATCGTCGACCTCCGACAACCTAATTTTGTGGAATTTAACTCAGATAATTATACGTAAGAAAGAGAAAGACAGCGGCTGTTGTGTAAAGTAATTTAAGACACTTGAATATTCGTTGTTCATGTCTGATTAAGTATTCGCAGGTTTAGCACAAGTGTTAAGTTCAGGATTGAGGACCGATTCGTTTAGGGTCCAACTTTTATGAGATTCGTTAACATCTCAGAGAAAGGAAGGTTAGGCATAAATAGATGCTTAGCAAACCAGTTTCACCCAGTGCCTCACTATGGTTCAATACACTCATTAACGCATAAATTTTCTCCCCCTTCAACAATGAGTTAAATAATAAGACTTATATCTAGAAAAATAATTGTTGTTCAAAAAACAAATTAATGGAATATCCATTCAAAAATTAAAAAAAAAAAAAGAATTATTCTTTCAATCCAAAATATTTCGACTTTAAATAGTTATATATATATATATATATATATAATTTAAATATTAAACAACGCATAAAAACAAACCAACCAATCACTATTTTAGACTAAACGTAATATGAACTTAAGAGGATGCCTGTTATAGCAAGTTAGTCAAACAGGCCACTGGTTGTTGGTTCAATCTTCACTGTGTGCCCCCCCCCCCATTATAGCCTTCTATATATAAAATTCTGAGACTTCTGTTAGTCCACTCGTTCGTCCGTCACTGACCGCTCGAAACCAAATTTTAAGGAGAAGTGCAAACAGGTTAGGCGGGGGGGGGGTACAAAGTAGAATTGGTTTTACTAGGGTACGTATCTTAGTACAGTAAACTTTCATTTTTTTTTTAAATTCAAAGTTTTATTATTCAAGATATTCCGACTATTTAAAATATAAATTAATGATTAAAATAACAAATATTTATTTAATAAAAATTCAATATCGTTTTTTGGGGTTTTTTTTTTTTGGCATATCTTTTTTTTTTTTTTGAGCTTTTATATATACAAGAATCCGTTCGCCCTACGTCTGCGAGAATTATAAACACATCACAAGGATAAACGCTTGGAATTTGACTCCAGAAAAAATATTTACGCCTGTCCAGTTCTATGTTGCATGCTCAAGAGTAAGAATTCGCCGTTAAAAAGGAAAAAAAATCTTAAAAAATATTGTTTGCCATCAAGTCCTATAAAATTAACTTAAATTAAAGAACTTATTCAACTGCGAAGTAGGGTTTTTGTCAAAGTATTTTTCCAAACAAATCAGTTTATTCAAATTTCATCGATTGGTTTGCAAAATTGAACGAAACGCAGAGTTTGTAATTGTCGACAAAAATGTTAGCGATAACTCCAACAATACTAAACATTGTGAAAATTTCAACAAAAAGAAATTCTAGTTCTGTAAAAATTAAGTTTTGCAGTATATCTCATCTAGAAAATCAAATTTCCAATTTTGGTATCAGCGTATATTCACATAGTATCTATAAATAAATATTAACTTGAAGTTATCTTGAAGGACATTTTGTTCCGGTCAATAATAAATTATCCACGACAATGAGAAACAGATTTAGTTTAGTGGTAACAGCTGAGGACAAAAAAAAAAAAAAGAGTTGAAATTTACTCTACTCTCAGAGAGAACTTGAAAATACCAGAGATAAACAATCCTAATTTTAAAGCTAAATAGTATTTATACTTTAATAAACACCAAATGGTACAAGAAGAAATAGAATCTGGTATTTTTGAATAAAGGAAAATACGATCAAAATAGAATTGAAGAATTCAAATGGGGTGTAACATTTTTTTAAACCAAAAGTACAACAAAAAAGCTGGGAGGAGAAAAAGGAGAATTTGTAGAACGCGCTCCAAAAAAAGGAAGAAAAAAAGGGGCCATGATTTTAGTTAAAGAATCCGTAAAGAGAAACGCCCGCATTCATAATGACGTCATTTTGTCGGTAGAAAACTGAAAGAGTGCGTCAACAAATGACGACCTCTTTTTTATGAAGAACGTAAGCATGGTGGCCATCATACCAGAGAAGGCACTTCAAATCCCATTTTTCTTTTGGATAGACTGAATAAGACAGATAGATAGATAGATAATGAACAGAATGAGGTAGATAGATACATACATACATACATAGATCATTTCGCTCCTATTGCAAGGAACGAAAGCGCCAGTATTTCATATCTTTTCATTTATCCTTCCACCCCGCAAAAAACCTGAATATTTTCGCCATCAACAGTTTGTTTTCTTGGATTAATAGCGTGCATCTGAGATTTTTTCATGCTCTGATATTAAACAAAATGCAAAAATAATCATTTTCAAAGTAAAAAATAAATTCTTTAATTTTTACTTCTAAAAAATGGGTCAGTGAAAGAAAAAGTTATTTATATTGTTTAGCTAAGAGTTAACTAATATTTGCAGTGTATGGAAGGCCAGTGGTATTAAGTGTTTTATATTTTAATACCACAAAGCTTTCGTATATGTGTGTTTTGTCAATTATAAGGAAATATGCGGAGGAGAGTAACTTTATAAAAAAAAAAGGATAAAGACACATCTATGAATTTGTTTATCAAGAGAATATAGAAGCCATTAATTTGCTATCGATGAATAAACTTTTTCAAGTCACTTGAACAATGAACAACGAATGTAAGTGTTGATTGTAAATTATATGTGGCTACGCATATTTACTGTCATTATATGCCCTGTTATATATATATATATATATATATATATATAGATAGATAGATAGATAGATAGATAGATAGATAGATAGATAGATAGATAGATAATGACTAAACTGGGACAGATAGATAATAATGAAACTCGGGTTAATAGAGAGAGAGAACGAGAGAGAGATAGAGAGACAGACTGAATGAGATAGCTAGCTAATTAGATAGATAGATAGATAGATAGATAGATAGATAGATAGATAGATAGATAGATAGATAATGAAACAGTCTGTGATAGATAGATAATAGATAGATAGATAGATGATAGATAGATAGATAGATAGATAGATAGATAGATAGATATGAACATGATAGATAGATAGATAGATAGATAGATAGATAGATAGAATAGATAGATGATGATAGATAATGAACAGTCTGTGATAGATAGATAGATAGATAGATAGATAGATAGATAGATAGATAGATAGATAGATAGAAGCCATTAATTTGCTATCGATGAATGAACTTTTTCAAGTGTCTTGAACAATGAACAACTAATGTAATTGTTGACTGTAAATTATATGTGGCTACGCATATTTACTGTCATTATATACTCTGTTATATATATATATATATATAGAGAGAGAGAGAGACAGACAGACAGACAGAGATAGACAGAGAGACAGACAGACAGACAGAGAGAGAGAGAGACAGAGAGATAACCAATAAAATTCGTACTCATTAGTAACGACCTACAAGTTAAGTTTGTTACCAGACAACAAGCTTAACTTTGCAAATAAAAAAAATTTATTCTTACACAGGAGTTATTTGTCTCCTTTCCAATACGAGCAATTTCAAACGGAGGAGGATAAATTTTAGCCGAGGAAGAATTAACGTCAAATTTCAGCCATTCATTGTCATACAAGTAATGCAAGTGATTGTAGTATATACGGATTTTCTCCCCAATTCCCTTGCTATTGAACATAGAAAACTAAATCATGTTGAAATGCATGCTGACCTGAAATGCCGTAAAAATCTTCCAAAAATAAAATATACTTTTCTAAAACTTTATTTGAGGAATATTATCTAATTTAAAATATAATTAATCTAATTTGAAACAAATATTATTTACTTTAAGTTTAAATTATCATCGCAGAAATGCATTTTTTTAACCCGACAGTAGCTGTGTTGACGTGGTAACAACGTGATGACAGAATCGAATGCTAACAACGTGATGACAGATTCGAATGTTGTTTTACGGAGACTTTATTGTAAAATATAATTTAAGAAAATGATGTGACTGCGTTTTTTCTATAATTTCAAGTACTCAGTAATTTTAAAAGTTTAGGAAAATATTCTCCGTAATCAAATGTTTTACTGAATTTGAGAAATTTTGACTTTAAATTTTCTATAGTTATCGCACTTATTTTATGATAATGTCGCGTATGGTCGTCTGTACTTGCAAAAATGGGCACGTTTATACGTATACAAAAATATTAAAAAATCCTTTTAAAATATTGATGTTTGACGATTTGTATTAAGCCTTCCCATTTATGATTAGTAAATGTAATTTTCATTTTATAATAATATTATCTAAAAGGCTGAAATTAATACTGAATTTTAAAAGATTTAAAACTTAATAATTTTTTTCTAATTTAAAAAAAAATGAAAACAATTCCTGTAAAAATTCATTATTCATCGAAAAATTTTTTTTAACACAATAGTGTTCTTAATATATCTTATTTACAAAAACAATTAAAAGCTTTTCTAATTAAATAATATCTTAGTTTTATTGCATTTTTTTTTTATTTTACGATTCAGATCAGATTTTCGGTAAATGTTGTTTCTGTTTGACAAAAACAAATTGATGATTTAAATTTTCCGAGTCCTGCTTTTAATTAATACAAATATGAAGAGGCTGAAATTTTAATTTCTCGAAATTTCATAAAATTAATAAAGTGGGAGTAACAGATGTAAAAAAATATTTTCATCAAGATTTTCTAACAAAAGAAAATTTCAAAAAATAATTTCATTCATTTTTGATTAAGTTCTGATAATTTCATTAAAATCCGACAATTATTTGATTTTTGCAAGAATTTCCAAAACAGTGGGTTTTTAACGCCAACAAAAACACTAAAAATCCTTATACCAATCTTTGGCTCACCCGTTGATGCAAGAAAAACAAGATTTTTCCCAAAATTTTGAACGTGCTAAAAAAATACTTTGTACTTTCCTTTTAATAATCACATAAACATTTTGAGGATAAAACTTTGTTTTTATTAAGTTTAGGTCCTTTTTTCATCATGGTGTGCTGTTTTTTATAAATTTTTTGAAGGTACCTATATATATATATATATTGTTTGGATGCAATAAATCGTTTGGAAAGTGGAACAATTAATATCGGTGGGGTGAGGTGAAGACGAAAATAAATGTTACATACAAGTCTGAACCTGTAACTAAAAGTTTAGCGTCTTTTGAAATCTTGAGTAAATGACTCAATGGTACTTGAAATTATGATTTCTCTCTCCGACGAATTGGAAGATGTGAGGTGGATGTACGTTTTATTGCTGACTTTGACAAACGGTGCCATCTTGCGATGAAGAAGTTTTTGTTTATAATTTCAAAACTGCCTTCTTAACAAGGTAAATATTTATATAAAACAATTAGCCTCATGAACTTAATTTGGGTTTTTAATCGAATATTTCGATATTTCTGTCTTGGGTCCTTACTAGTTAAACTTATTACTAGAAATTAATTTACCCTGTTAAAGCGCCTTAGAATATGTTGTCTTCATTCCTTGTAGATGAGTAAGATCTCCTCCCAAGAAAAAGGAGTCAACCTTTCGAGTTGGTATTCGCAGACTCTGGTATAATGTGAACCTCTGTTTAACTACTTGACTAGCGTGAACTGAACATCTGTCTACCTGTTTTACACTTGCGAAAACTGAACCTATGTCTAAGTTTTCTTACTCTGGTATCAAACGGGTTTATATCTAAGTTCTTTAAATCTCGTGCAAACAAGATCCATATCTTGCTTTTGATTCTAGCACAAACAATACCTATGTCTACCCCTTGCCACTTGGGCAAACCAAGCCTATGTCTAACTTTTGACTAGTGCAAACGAGAAAAATGTCTACCTTTTGCCACAGGTGCAAATGGGACCTATGTCTACCTTTTGCCACTCGTGCAAACCAAACCTATGTCTACCTTTTCCGTCTCGTGCAAACGAGACCTATGTCTATCTTTAGATTCTGATGTAAACACGTCCTTCGTCTACCATTTTTCTAACTTTTTTCTTTGTGATTGTTGTCCAGTTGGACTTATATTCGAAATGAGATAACCCAAAGAGTATTAAATTATCGTTAAATTTACTAATCTAACCCAACTAGATTGGGTTTTGTCGAGTACGCAAATACATTCTGTCAACATGAAGTGGTAGCTCTTGGAAAATGTTCAAGCGGACTGATCATAAATTAATAGCAATAAAAATCACCTCTTTTAACGAATAAGAATCAATTGAAATCAGCATCAGTCGAGAAATGAGCTTAATTATCCATTAATGGTTATGTCGATGCTGATAAGTTACGTTCTCAATTCTGATGAAAAGTTTGTTTTATGAACTTCACGGTGACTTTGTTAAAACCAGCAAGAAATCATTGAATCAATATTTTTCGCTGAGCCTAGAAATAGTCAAGTTGCCCAGTTATGATGCCTGATGTAACAAAACAAACGCAGCACTTATTTTGTTTCGGTAAGAGGTTTTGTGTTCTCGATCGACTTGGCCAAGAAAATGGCTTACTGAAATATCATCGATTTGTAACAAAAATTGGTTGCGTAGACGACTGCAAAGGAAAATGAAGGAAAGCTCACAAGCAAATTTTCATTTCTGTACGTTTGTGAGTATATGTAAGATGGAATGTTAAAAATGTTACTTTCTTATTGACATTTGGCTTCTTTGACGTAAGCATTATCAAAATAACTGAAAAAAGAACCAAAAGAAAAGTCGCTACAATGGCAACCCTACTACATAAAAACACCGTGAAAAATCTTTAGTAAAAATTAACTTAATAATCACGTGACAAGCTACGGATCTATTGATTTAACTTCAGATATATTTACAATGTACAGCCACATATATATATATATATATATATATATATATATATATATATATATATATATATATATATATCAAGTGGGACTGAAAATTCTCGGCCTGACAAAAAGATTTTGAATGTTTGGACATTTGGTCAGAGTTGGAGAGGTGTGTTGGAATTAGAACTTATATATATATATAATCGACTCTCCCGTCGCGTTCGACGTATGAGGGGTCAGGCCGATAAGTCCCCAGGAAACCGACGTCCCGACACCGGCACATGAGATTTGTTTATAGTGGTAAAGGCCTTGTGCAGGACCAGCCACACTTTTTGGAGGGACGAATACAGAAACCTGGTGCACCGAATGCATGCCACAAAACCTGCGGAGGGTCGTTTGGGAACCTTGTATATATATATATATATATATATATATATATATATATATATATATATATATATATATATATATATATTTAAAGCAAGTGAGTAATTGAGTATATTGAGGTTTGAGGTCCAGGAAGCTTCTGAGTACCACTTGCCACAAGTATACCGGTTATGCCTGAATTCAATGAATGAAAAGATACAAATTAATCCGAAAAATAATTTTATTACTTTGGAACCACACGCACACATACACGCACACACACACACACATATACATGATATATATACATATAATTTTATTACTTTGGAACCACACACACACACACACACATACATATACATGATATAGATAGATAGATAGATAGGAGTGTGAATATGTGACAGTTTTTAAAAATTGCTATATATGTGAGAAAAGAGTGCTCAATATCGGAGTTAGAAACATATAATGTGGACATAGAAATCCACACTGCATGGTGACAGTCAGTTTCAAGTCTCAAGCGATCTGATAAGGCATGAAACATAATTTCTTTGTACACATTGTTTCTCTCTATCTCTCTCACTCTCTCTCTCTCTCTCTCTCTCAACATACCACACACACACACGCAGATATATATATATGTGTGTGTGTGTGTGTGTGTGTGTGTGTGTGTGTGTGTGTGTGTGTGTGTGTGTGTGTGTGTATGTGTGTGTGCATGCATACACATATAGGCGTATGCACTCTAGTAGTTTATATGCGTCTGTGGTAATTTGTGCGATGAGTGGGATCCAGGATAAATAAATGATATAACACGCAGCAGCTGAAAAGCTTCATGTCGAAACTTGACTCCTCTAAATGTTTTAATATTTATATTCTAAACACGATTATATACACGCTTTATATTTATATATATATATATATATATATATATATATATATATATATATATATATATATATGGGAGATAAATTTTCTTTATTTAGACTTTAAATGTACAGGCAGGAAGCATAGATTTGCACTGTTTAAAAAACAGGATGTCTGTTCAAACACTTGCACCCACTGAAAGTAAGAATCAAAGGAACACACACACACACACATATATATATATATATATATATATATATATATATATATATAGAGAGAGAGAGAGAGAGATAGATAGATAGATAGATAGATAGATAGATAGATAGATAGATAGATAGATAGATAGATATATATATAGATAGATATAGATATAATGATCTTTAAAAAAGCGATCATATTTTATTCATAAAAAAGCGATACAAAAGTATCACGACGATTAAAATTTTCGGTACCTATCGGCCGACACATCTTCAGAAAAAATAATATCGACGTCAAATAAAACAAAGTGGTTGAAAAGAATTTTTTTTCCCACAAATGGTGAGAAAATATACCAAAACTAGGGGAGGGAATAAAAAAATAATAATAATTTCCTCATTAGGCATCGAATTGGCGACCGACTCCCAGAACAAGACCACCTTATGTTTTAATTCTCTCTTCCTACACAGGGCAGGACGTTGTATATTAATAAGAACCGACTCCAAGATGTCAAGGTGGAATCTAGTCCGTGCCCTGTGCAAGACCGAGAAGAACTTCGGAGAATAGTCCGTCCTGCAAGCAACAAAATTCTATAAATGCTCGCCGATAGCAGAGTCATGAGCCCGTGAACACCCGAATGCTACAGGCTCATGCCTACGTATTTGGGCCGGAATATGCTAGGCGATCCTAACCTCTAGATTCATTTTTATTAATAAAATATGATTCCTTTTTAAAAGATCATTTTGTCCTGGTGTAATAATAATGTGTTTATATATATATATATATATATATATATATATATATATATATATATATATATATATATATAATGTGTGTACGCAATACTTTTCACGGAAAGTACAGTTACTTCACTTTGATCCGGGATAGAAGTGTCAATGATCCATTCATAAACAGTCACTTCATTTTCGCAGGAATTATGCTATAAGATCAAGTTGGCAGCTGATCTCAAGAATAACTTACAGTCTGTTGTTAACTGGGGTAAGAGGTCGCTTGCATACTTTAACGCCTTCAAAATCAAACATCTCTCTATCAATCACCTGATGATACTACATGAGAAAGATTCATTGCCCCTTCTCGGGATTACATTTTCAGCTGGCATGAAGTGAAAAGCTTATATTGAATCCATAGCTAGGTCTGCTGCTCAGAAAACTGGTTCACTGTCTCGTGCTAGAAAATATATTTCGCTTGAATCTATCTTATAGATTTATATGTCTACCATTCTTCCTTGCTTTGAATATTGCTGCCACATATTGTCCGGTGTTCCTGCTGTATATTTAGAGATTCTTGATAAAATCCAAAGAAAAATCAGCAATATTATTGGTCCTGACCTGGCGTCTGGCCATCGTAATGTATCTTCCCTGTGCTTTTTCTATACATTTTCTTTTTGTGAATTTAAGCGCAGTACTAGATTGGCAGCTAGGTCTCATCAATTCGCCGTTGAATTGGCGAGATGTAACCGTAAGCTCTATGCTGACAGCTCCTTTTGTCTCAGTTCTCCCTTGTGGGAATTTAAATGCGATATCAATCGTTATCTATTGTCCTCTTGATTGCTCTTCTATTGTTTTTGCTCCTTAATGACTCTCCTTTCTGTAATTCCCTTGCGTCTTAGTGGCTTTATTGCTTTGCATAGGGTGAAATGATTTACACACACACACACACACACACACACACACACATATATATATATATATATATATATATATATATATATATATATTATAAAATATATGTAAATCAGAGCTAATTAAAACAGGGAGAATATATTAAACATCATGCGCTCACTACTCACTAGTGATGACGTATTTATTTTCTTTCTTCCCCAGTTAGGCAGGGGGGATTTTAATACTGTACGCTTGAAACTGTTCAATGCTGGAAGGATAAAAGAGTCTCGTTTATTTATGGCTTCTGTGGGGATGGGGAGATCTAAAGAAATAATTTATGACTAGCTACGTCGATCCTGGCAGAAATCTCATAAAATTGAGAATAAGTAATTGAAAAAAATATGATATAAATTATATATATGCATATTTTATCTATTATCTGAATAGAGTCATATTCGGGTCTCTGAACTAGAATAAACAAAGACACGAGCCTATATATATATATATATATAATACGAGAGGTATTGGAAACTTTGTCAAGGTTAACTATGAGTGCAGCATCTCTTTTCTGTTACTGGGCAGATCAGTTAGCTAGGGGATTTGCACATGTGTTCGCTTATACAGTCAACTAACTTGGCCTTGAGATAGTTTTTATCATATTTAGGTTGGTTGGTTGTTTTTTTAGCGACATATCAACCGAAATTAGGTCGAATTTGTACACAATTTTATTTTAATTTTGGAAATAATAATGGTTTAGTGGTACAAGTCTTACTAATTAACCCATAGCTGGGGGGAGAAGGGGTGGATTCATGCCTTTTCCAAGTGCATTTGTACGTAAATGAATATAATGAACCCAACGGAAAGTGAAACTCGGTTCTCCGATTAACAATTCCGAGCCGTTATCAATTGCACCACCCGCACATCCAGGCTCACAGCACCTGTTATTCCGAAGCGGTCACCCATCTTGGTACTGACCAAGCTCGACGTTGCTTAACTTCGGTGATCGTAAGGGGACCGGTGTTTTAACTTGATGTTGAAGTAATTCTCATATTTTGTGAAACATTCGTGTGCATTGAAAACTGATTTCATGCCTTTCACAAAAGTATAAATATACAGTTTCAGCCGAAATTCGAACAATATATATATATATTATTGTTGTTGTTGTTGTTATTATTATTATTATTAATTAGACATTTGTGTTTAATCTGGTATAACTAAAATCAAGAATGGTAATGGTTAGTAAAAATTACCGTTTCCTTATAAGGAAACATTCAGCATTCATTGACCAAGCAGCCAGTGCGGCAGTCAGTTGAAATTTATATCTTTCTCTTAAAACAATTTTTCAGGAAAATCGGTTTCCCAAGTCCAGTAACTGTTATTACTCTTTCCAATATTGATGATGGTTTCCTTTCTAACTTTTTGTCTGAAGTCCTGTGGAATGTCAACATCTTCATTATGTCATGTTTTCTCTTCGAGTAACATGTGATATCCATTTTAGCTTTAATTTCTGTTGAAAGTCTTCAAATGGAGTGCTTTCTGTTATTTGTTACAGTTCTCTGTCTGTGATTCCGTAGCGCCAGTCCACAAACTTCAAAGAATGTCTTCGTCAAGATCCATAGGCTTCACTCCCTCAAAGTCATTTTAACCATTTATCTGAGAATGTGGTTGGAAACAACTGACAGTTTAGATATTTCTGAAAGGTTTAGCACTGTGCATGAAATCTATATGAAAATGTAGACCTGACGAAGCTATTTAATAAGCCGATATATTTACAAATATTTACTTTGTTACTTTAATAATAAAAACTCAGGTTTTTAGGTTAATGTTTTGGTTTAGTAGCAACTGACGGTTTGGGGCGAAACTACTTCTAGCGCAGTCTATTCTATGTCCAATTCCCTTATCTACTATGCTAAATTTATTATAACTAATCCGTACACTCAGGTATTTGAAGAGTTTGATATTCACTAATTCCATATGGCGAATTTTTATGATGGATTCAGGGTACGTGACTTCACGGCCTTCATTCCAATTCCAAGACGCAGTTTCTGTTTTGGAAATGTTTATAAAAGGCTGAATGAAATAGGATAAATATATATATATATATATATATATATATATATATATATATATATATATATATATATTAAATAAGAAGAATGAAATAATGGGTCGATGCCGACATATTAATAAATATTTACTTTGTTACTTTAATAATAATATAACATAATGATTCAATTAAAATATTATTTAAAATATTAAGTAATAATACAAATCCAGCATATTCAAAGTATTGTAATTTAATGAATAATATAAATTAAGAAATATTATCAACATAACAACTTCTATATAAACCATATAAAAAAAAAACTTTAATTTCGAAAAAAAATTTAATTTTCGAAGAAAAAATTTATAACTGTAAGAAAAATCTACAGCTGAAAAAAATGAAAGACGTAAAGAAAAGCAAAATTTCATCAATAAGCGTGTGTAAAATAATGTTAAATTCACGAATACGCACGTGGATAAAACGGAGTAAAAAGGCGGATTGAAAAAGACAGAAAACAAAAGGGAAAAAAAACAATGCCTAACATACTTAGTGAGCTTGGATGGCGGGAGAGGACTTAGAAAGAAATAATAGAAAGACAAAGTTTATTAAGCGCTACGAGGGACAGGAAGTTATGGAGAGCCATGATCGCCTACGTCCTGATGGGACACTGCACATAAAGAAAACGAGACGGAGAAAATGTTAATAAATATCTATATGACAATTTATTGACAACTTTATTATTATACATAGATTCAAATAAGAAAATCTTTTTCCGATTTTTACAGTTACCGAAACGTGGAACTGGTCCGAATTAATTAATATATTAACTTGATGGAAAGATTCAAGTTTTTTTGTTTTTTTTTTTTTTTTTTTTTTTTGGCAAACATCTTTTATTTAATTACATTCAAACATCTTTGTTTACTCATCAAATTTTTAGACTTGAGATGGAGGATTAACTTCCACCAGAATTTTCAGTCGACATTCTTGCCCATAAAAATAAATCTTTATCCTCCACTGCGTCATTCAAATCTACCAATTGCTCACTGTAGCTGTATTAAGTTACAGTCAGCGCCGTCTGTCTAACTCTCTGCATTAGCAGGGAGGAACCCGGAAGAAGCTTTGCCGAAGGGCAAGGTTTCGTTCGGGGAGGTTGACAGGCCTTAAACCCGCCTAGGCGAGTTCGATGGCTATATTTTTGGCCGAGATACGGGCTCGGGATACCCACATTAAACTCGGCCTTGTGCCACATTCGATCCTCGTGGGGGGATAGCTAAATATTTGTAGCATTGGGTAATAACAATTTGTCCCGGTTCAAGCGATTTGTAATAAAGAATTCTCTTTGAATGCCAGCAAACATCGAGAAGATTTTTCCCCTCCCCAAAGTAAATTCTCTTTAGGCTGAGATATTAAAGACGCTGCTGGGTCTCATGGATCTAACTAAAATTTTCTTCCTTTTCTAATTTTATTCTCATTAAATATTTTTCCAAGGTTAAATTTTGTGTATGTCGAATAAGAAAAGAAAGATGAATGTACTAAAGAATCTTCCTTAGGCTGAGTCTATGTGGAACGTATTTCCCTGTCTTCTCTTTTTCCCGAAGGCTTGTAAATGGCGTGCGAGAAGTGGTTAATCTAGTAGGTAAACATAAACATCCGTGTTAATCTTGTTCTAATGTTTTGTTGCTGTTTTTATGCACATTACGATATGTGATGCTAAAGGTTGTAGGAGGAGGATGTCACATATATTACTGGTAGGAGTTACCAACATAATAAGGGTTCAATCCTCACTGAAAACGCTGAGATTGTAGCCGCATAACAGGGATCTTACTACGACGAGTAAAACAAAGCGATTTTTGTAGTCAGTGCATTTATTCGCATAAGACATCCTCAGCATTATTATTATAGAAATCAACCTCTCTCTTTCTCCCTATCTCTCTCCCCACCTCTCTATCTCACACTTCTCGTTCTTCCTTTCTTTCTCTTTCTTCCTCTCGCTTTTTCTACTCTTCTTTCTCATTCTCTCAATCTCTCTTTTCTGTTTCTTTATCTAATTCTCTCTCCCCTTTTCACTCTTTTTTTCTCTATCTCACTCACACTCTATCTTTCTATCACAACCTATTTCTCTTTCTCACTATATATCCCTCCTTCCTTCCCCCTCTCTATGCCATCCTCTTTCTCTCCTTCTACTTTTCTGTCTCATTCTCCAACTCTCTTTTTCTGTCTTTTTATCTAATTATCACTTCCTCTCTCTCTCTCTCTCTCTCTCTCTCTCTCTCTCTCTCTCATTTTTGTCTTGCTTTCTTTTTTAGTTTCTCTATTGATTTGTTTATATATGTTTCTAAGGTCACATTTGTATCTAAGTTTTCTGACAGACGCTAAAATGACACAGACTGGAGGAGACACCCCAGGATCTCAACAACAACTTCTCCTACCCGGTCCAATCCCAGAAAATAGCAAATTTATACTGACACTTGCCACCTTTTAAGGCTACTAACAAAATTTACGATGTCTCAATTATGAATTTAAATGTTCTAAAAAAGTATTTATACTGACGTGTAACTTAGCACATGGAGAAGTCAATGTGTTTTTTGCTACCAGAATTTTTATTAATGATACAAATTGACTGAGTGCAACAGAAAGTAATATAACATGACTAATTTTGCTTTTATCAATTATTCTAGTAAAAATGTTTTTAACACATCTAATCTGGTGCTTCTATTATGTATTCAGAGATTCTTGATAAATTCCAAAGAATAACCTGTAATGTTATCGATCATGACCTGGCATCTCGGCTTCAGACCTTTTTTTCATCGTCTTAACGTAGCTTCACTGCATTTTCTATAAATATATTCATAGAAATTGTTCTGGTGAGTTTTCCTCTTTGGTACCTAAACTTTCTGAATTTAAACGTACTACTAGATTGGCAGCAAGGTCTCTTTTACAGTTGAAATGTCTAGATGTAACCGTAAGTTCTACGCTAACAGTTTCTTCTCTCGCACTTCTCGCTTGTGGAACTCTCTTGAAGCTTCTTGCTTTCCAGTCAACTTCGATTTTCAAAAATTTAAATGCAATGCCAATCGTTATTTCCTTAATTCATATTCTTTTATTGTCCTCTCCTTTATAATGTGTTTTCCTCAGATTCTCTCACGCTCAGTAACTCTTTGTGTCTTAGTGGCTTTATCGCCTTGCTTGAGATGAGGATTTGACAATTCTGTCACAATGTATGTGTCATAAGTTATCTTTAATATGTCTGTTTCAGTTAGACGTAGGTGCAACATATTGAAATGACTGTTGATAGATAGACTGAATGTTATTGACACAGATAGATAGATAGATAGATAGATAGATAGATAGACAGATAGATAGATAGATAGGAACACACTGCGATAGATAGATAGATAGATAGATAGATAGATAGATAGATAGATAGAATGACTTTTCGACTTCAAAATTCGCAGATACACCACTCGTCAGGGTCCGATAAATCTATTCTATTTATATGACTATGATTAGCGGTGTATCCGCGAAAGTTGAAGATATGTCTTTGAACTTTTCCTTAATCTATTAACTATTGTTGCTACATTTTCTAATAATAAGCACCCTGTTTACAAAAACCTGTTTAAAATCCAGTAATTTGCTCGACTACGTGTTTTGGTAGGCGTTAACGATCTTTATTATTATTATTATTATTATTATTATTATTATTATAGATAGATAGATAGATAGATAGATAGATAGATAGATAGATGTGTACATATATGTCTACGTATACACCCACCTCATATTTTTAAAAATATTTCTGGCTCTTTTAAAGCCCTTTTATTTTATTTATGTAGACTAGAAAATAAAAAAGAATGAAGAAACCGGAAACTTATCACACCCATAATCTATAATTTACCTTTTTTTAATACTCGGATGACCTAGCAGCTGGCTGAATCGTTGTCATATCATTAAGATGGCGGGAAAATGAAGCAGCGTTTGCATTAACTTAAAAAACAAAAACACAACACCATGACAATCCTTGAAAGATCTAACAAAAACACAAGTATTTATTTGTAGATATGTTTATGTAGGTGAGACATAAAACGATGATGTTTGCTTACCAATGGCGCTAATGTTTTCAACGAGGAAGTACACGCTAGACTGTTACGAATGTATGAGTAAGCGTTTTTTGTTTTTTTTTTCAGGGACCATTCTAACGTAACGGCGACAGATTTAAGGGATGATCTAAGCGCACAAAATATGCAAAACAGTCCGGTACTGGGTGGTACTGACGAACAACAGGTCACCGTTTTTTATTAATATTATCTACATTTCTTCTTTTTTTTTAATTTCTGTATTTAAAACTAAAGTAGGAAAATATGAAATCACTATCTTCTTGAAATAATGCGCTTTTTGTTTAATCAGAAAGCGTATTACACATTTTGATATTTAAAATTTAAAATGATAGTATACAAAAGATGGCTATGTTCACTGCTTCTAAACTTCTCTTTTTATATGAGATATCCTTTCATAATGTGGGTGATCATGGCTATCCATATTTTCCTGCTGTAAGTTATTTTTTAAACTTTTACCACACTCTCTATCATCCATTCACACACACTTTTTAAGTCGGTAACACGGCGTTTCTTGATTGTTATAGTTTTGAGTTCCAACTAGCTAGAGGTCAAATAGCAGGGTAAACTGACCTCTGTAGCCTTGAGTGACAACCATTCTAGAAGAAGGACGATTCTGAATTGAAAACTATGTAGAAGGCAACGGTAAATCATTCCACTATCTTTTCCAAGAGGACATGGCAATTCACAGATAATTAAGGAAGGGAATGTATTTTAGAACTATAATTCAAAGTTATCCTTCTTCTAGTTTCCAATCATGGCTAGAAAGACCAGTCTGCCCTGTTATTTAACCCATAGCTTTGGAGAGAAAAGATGGATTTATACCTTTCCTAAGTGTATTTGCGCATAAGTGAATGTAACGAACTCGACTGTAATTCGAACCCGGCTCTCCGATTACCCATTCTGAACCGTTATCCATATGTAATATATCTAGTGAATCTTAAACAGGTTCTTCTTTACTCGTTATATTTCCCAAAAATATGTGTTAAATTCAAAAGATATTTTGTTATATATATATATATATATATATATATAATATTTGATTTAAAAGAACTGATCCGACGTGCAAATTTTCGGGATAACAACTGAGACATTACTCTATTTATTGAACAATTTAGTTCATGCCACATTGACTGGTAAACTTCTACAACAAAAAATTCTCAAATTGCCATATTAGTAAAAAACGCACTCTCTTAAATTTTCAATAAAATTCAAACTTAGCGTTACGACTGCACGCTCCAAAAGTTTGTATCCGTTAACAATAACACATTAAAAAAAAAAAAAAACATATTTCGATTCGCATTTAATTTTTTCGTCTCGGATGCTACCTGGATTATGCTAAAAACAAAAAACAAAATAATTTCCATGCCTGAGGATGATTGAATGTACAGTTGAAAGTACTCACGTATTAAAAAAAACCTTATACAGCTAATAATTATTAAAAACAAGGATCATAACATTCATCGAGTGATTTATAGGTTAATGCAACTTTAAAATTTTGTTTGCAAAAGGATTTCAACATTTTATATCATTAACTTTACTAATCTACTTTTTGTATGAATGATTCATTGTAATATATATATATATATGTGTGTGTGTGTGTGTGTGTGTGTGTGTGTATGTATAAACCGCAAGCCCGCGTAATCACTTTTGCACTCCATCAAGGCTGTAAAGTAAGTATTAGTTGGCTCCAGTCTCGATATACCGGCAATGCTCCATTTTTGGTCTGGTCTGGTCTGATTTGATTTTTGTTTAGAGCATTTTTTCAGCGACGGATCGTATATATGAGTTCCATTTGAGATCTGAGATAAAATTGACTCTCAATAGACATTGAAGTTTCAGGGTCTGTTCGATAATGATGGAACGTTGCGAGCTTAGTTTTAGAGGTCGTCAATGTTACAGTTACGCTCAAAAGTATTGAATATATAGGATTTTTTTTCTTTTTGTTAATATAAAATGACCGCAAATTGACACTGGTGTTTGTTTTGGTGCCGACATTTCAACGTTCAGTTGAAAATCAAACTTTGTTGAATGCTGACGTATTCTTCACAAATGAATGCCTTAAAGATGAACGATGAAGAGTTACAATTTCACCATATTTTATGCCCCATGAATTTCGAAAAAGAAGTAAGTGTTCGGAACTGCGACAAAAAAAAATCCATCTTTCAAATCTATAAATCAACCATCCGTCCTTGCATGGAATATTGCTGTCATATATGGTCTGGTGCTCCCGCTGTACATCTCGAGTTCCTTGACAAAATCCAGAGATATGCAATGTGATAGATCCTGATCTAACATCTAGTCTACAAACGATATCCTACAGACGTACCGCGGCCTCCCTCTGTCTCTTCTACAAATATTTTCACGGCAACTGTTCTAACGAGTTACTTCCCGGACTACATGAATTTAAACGAGCTACCAGACTGGCATCTCGGTGGCACCCTTTCACTGTCAAAATGGTTAAATGCAACCGTCTCTTCTTCTCAAAAAGCTTCTTCTCCAGCACTTCCTGTCTGTGGAACTCCCTTCCCCTTACTCATTTCCCCGATGACTATAATCTTCAAATATTCAACTGTAATATCAATCGACATCTGACACCCTGAGCTTGTTCCCCGTCCTTCTATATATCATTTCTTCAAACACACCTCTTTACTCTTATTCTCAATTCTCTGTAACCCCTTGCGTGCTAGCGACACTCCCGCCTTGCTTGGGGTAAATTGCCTTAAAAATTCTCCAGCTCTCCGGGCGAACCTCCGGCGTGAACGAAGATACCCTGCTTGCCATTGGGGAAAATAAACCGATCATTTCGACAGAAGAGATTGCTAAGAGTTTGAAAATCGATATCTCAACTGCCTTTCGCCATTTGAAAAGAAAAGGGTTCAAGAAAATCGGACGATTTTGGCAAATCGAAAAAGTGAGATTTTCCTCTGCGACAACACAAGACCTCATGTTGCAAAGTAAACTTTGCAGAAGCTTAGAGAGTTGAAATTGGGAAACCCTGCATGTCAAAATCGCTACACAATTGCAGTCGTGTTTGATGCGTATCAAATACATCTCATCAGATTTTAATTTACTGGCGAGTGAACGACTGCAATTGTGTAGCGATTTCGACATGTTTTTCGATGTAAATATCCTATAATAAATAATATTGCTCTACTTTGTATTGAGCCATCTTTTAAATTAAATGTTACGAACGTTGGAATTGTACTCTATTCGTTCTCATATTACCTGGATATATATATATATATATATATATATATATATATATATATATATATATATATTATACTCATCTGGAAAAACCTTAGGTGAACAAACCAATACCCAAGGAAAAATAAGGGATAAAAACAAAGATTTAAGAACATATAATTGAGGCGAAAACAATCGTCTAGAATCCAAGTTCAAAGTCCAAAGAAAAAAAACCTCCAACACGAGTAAAGCAAAAGTAACTAAATAAAGTGTACCCTGACGATTCGCGTAGGTGAAACCTAGGTAGGTTTGCCTGGCTCTTTAGGTTCATAGTTATATATATATGTGTGTGTGTGTGTGTGTGTGTGTGTGTGTGTGTGTGTGAATAATGAGGTCAACTCTGAGTGCCGACAGTCTGTTTGATACTTGGATATTGCGTTGGTCGGAGCCAGGTGCTGATCTAAGTGTCGACTTTTATATTTGCAAACGCTATATCCATGACATTGAGCTTTTACCCATAAATATAGCATACTTAAAAATTATATTTTTATTATATATATATATATACAAATTTACAAATGATAGAAAGTTGTGAAGAGCCATAATCGCCTACGTCCTGAAGGGACACTGCACATAAAAGAAGAAACAAAAAAATCAGTTTATCTGCCGCAATAATTTTTAACGAGTTTCACTAATCCGGCATGAGGAATATAAGGTATACTTAAACATACCATTCAGGATTTCGTCATTCTGCAGATTGTCGAGTTCAATAAGTAACTAGTAAGGAAGAGAAAAGTGTTTCCCTAACTGTATATATTAGCGTATGAAAAGCTATTTTCTCTCTTTCAAAACACTCTACACAGACATGGACTATTATTTACACATCCACACTCATAGAACGTCTACACATTGAGAGACAGATCACAAAGAACTCTGTTAATCTTTCATTTAACCACCAAGGATAACGGAAGTGACAAATAACACTTTGACAATGTCTAAATTAATGTAATTGTGTCCGTATAAAAAGTCAGTATTTGACGCTCACGGTAGGGTTTCAAACCTGGTAATCAATTGTTGGAAACATCTTGCAGACCTAAATCATTTAGCAAAACAAAGTATCATGGAGCTGTCACATAAGACGAACACATCCTACGGGAGGAACGCTCAGATATAGAAACACATGCTACGAAGTATTTCTCACATATATGAACGTGTTCTACAGGAAGAACTCTCCTATATACGAACATATTCAGTGAAATGATTTTTCTTTTACGATTTATCAACCCATTTTGAATTATGGAATGGACAATATACAAATATTTTTCTATGAAAATTTCTCGGACATTCAGGCCGGTGAATGTCGTTAATACTGTTTATTATAAACAGAGCATTTATTTAAATGCTTGTATCTATATAAAAAAAAAACGTATAAAATAATTGTCGGACTTTGTCCATTTC